ATTTTATGGTGTCTGAAGTATTTAGGAGTAGCCTCTAAGGCTTTCCTCTAGCCTTCTTCATATATACTGTCCGGGGAGGCTGTTGCAACTAGGTCGTAAAATCACACCTGCAACCATCTCTTATACGCTCGTGCTGATTTGTGTCACCAACCTGCATATGCCATGACGCGTATTATTTTGTGCCTTGTGGCGTTGTCACAAAATTAGTTAAAGCCGGATCACCTTCTGCCGCCTGCTGTATGTTTCTAGCGAAATTCAACCTTTTGATTGCACCCTCTTAATAGGGGATCCGAAGAAGCAGTTTGTGGTGGCCGCGGAACACGGGGATATGGTCGCCCTCCGTAGTAGCCTGGCTGACCTCACCCCGGCCGAGAAGGAGGAATTCCTTCTTTTTACTGACGCTGATGGCTACACGGCTCTTCATCGGGCTGCCTATGGCGGCCATTACGATGCTGTGGAAGTGAGTGCCTCAAGGTCATTCTTTTTGAGTTTCCTCTGTCACTTCTTCATTTTTTATATGATTCGATCCTGCAGATGGTTCCCTGTTCTAATGGTGGTCCGCATTGGTGTATCCCATAAAAACCGTATCTCATATATTTTAATCGAGGGACGACGTAGTTTGGAATGATTGGCGTTCGACTATCCTTATGCCTGTCTGCAAAAAAGGAAATAAGACAAAATGCGAGAACTATCGCGGCATAAACTTCATTGACGTTGCTGCGAATGTCTTCACTATTGTCCTTCTCAGAATATTCCACTCTGTACAAGACTCTAGGAATTCCGCCATGGCTACCAGCAACTGACGTCCGTCTACTTTGCCGACGTCGCCGTTGCATTCGATTCCGTCCATCGTGAGCTCCTGTGGCGAATAAGGGAAGTAGATGGAGTACCGTCAAAAACAGCTGCCGTAATTAAGGCCTACTATCACTCCAAAACAATCTCTCCTAACCGTCCGATATCCCGTGTGGTTTTCGACAAGGCTCCGTCCTGTCGCCCACTCTGATTAACTACGCCATTGACTAGATTCTGGGAGAGGTCTACACGAAGAGGACAGTATTGAGCTTGCACCGGGGCGCCGGCTGATTGATCTCAACTACACCGATGATATCGGCCTGCTAGCCTCAAGCCTTGGTGATCTAAGGTCTGTGGTGTCGCGGGTTAATGAGGCCGCAATGTCGTTTG